AAATATATATAAAGGACATTGGCGTCTTATCTGTTACAAAGAATTAAATCAATATAGGCTAGCTATGCAAATACTCAGAAATTAAATTTCTAAGAAAAGAAACTATTCAACATCAAAACAAATATGCACATCATAATTTTCTAAAGAAAACAATTTAGCTTTCAAATTCAGAATGGACACGGATTTTAAAGCCATGCATTCCAACTGAATACCTTTCCTCCTTTTAACGGAACTTCTAAAAATACCATCCCTTCCTCTACCTCAAACCTTACCAGTCAGGTGATCTCACCTGAGAGGGACCGACAAAGACCCTCCTCCCATAAACACACCTTTGAGCTTTCCTTCCTTTAAGATCTCTCGTAAAATCGGATATGGCTCTATTATTTGGCTCGCCGGCTAAACAACTAACAGATACAAAGCTTCCCTGGTCCTTGATAACTTACCTGAGCTAAGCAATTAATCATGGCGGTACCTTTTGCTTGGATTTGAAGTCGAAGGGAATTTGAATTTTTCAACAATTTAAGCACGTTTATCTTTCTTAACTGAGAAAAGCTATCTAGAGTGGATTTTGTATGGAATGAACGACTTTGAATCTTCAACTGAGAAGAATTTTTGAAAATTTGGTATTAAGCTTTATCGTCTATTAATAGAGGAGGGTATTTTACTGATAATTAGGAATAAATTCTGTGATAACTAAAATGAACGCTGGATTAAATCTAATCTTAAATCAATATTATTGAAGAGAGCACCACGTAAATATTGCCTGCACTAAAACTGATTTTTAATTAAAAATTTGAAAAATATTCGTTAATTTGAACTGATATTTTTAGATGAATAAATAAAAAGCAATGATGAAGTTGGTGGTTTAGGTTACATTAACATAAAAAGAAAATTAAATTTTATTAATTATTGTTAATTGTTAGTTTAAACTAGTTTAGACCTATTTCATAAAATGTGAATAGTTCTATCAGTTTTAATAAGCTGGAAAATATTTAACAGTTATTCGGTTTTATTTATTTTTTTGTAAATCTCAACTCTATTTTTTTATATTTATGTAAGGTTAAATAAGTTCGTCAAAAAGTATGAAATGGGAATGGAATAAATTTTTAAAACCATAGTTGACGAAACTAGACCAATGACAGCGTGCATCTCTGCTCATTTGTAGATAATGCAAACAACACATTTAAAGATAAAAGTAGTTAATTTATTTACTTAAAAGTTAAATATTAAACTCTCTAACTGGTTGAAGAAACGAAAAATACTTTTTTTTTTTAAAAAAAATTTACCTTAGTAATATATAATCACTCGCTTAAATTAACATTCTTTGAATTAAAATTAAGTCTTTGAATTCCAAGATTTTTGTTCGACTATGTAAATTTTTAAATTTAAAATGGAGCTTCAATAAAAAATTTTATATTATTTATATATATATATATATAAGCTCAAAATGGAGATAAAACAAAGGAAAATTATAGACATATGAAAAAAAAGGGGGGGGGAGAAATAATAATGAAAAAAAATAAACTGAGTAAAAAAAAAGAAAAAGGATGAAATTTTTTTAAAGAAACCGGAAAATAAAAGATATCTTTTCATCACCCCACACGATTATACCCGCAAAAAAGAGTGTTTTCTGACATTGTATCAATATAGCCAAAGCAAAATATATTAATACAATAGTGTGAGGAGCACTCAAAAAAAATTTTTACAAAAATTACAACATATAAAATAGAACACAATAAGTAAAAATAACACGTAAAAACAGAAAATAAAAAAAAAAAATTCTCATTATTAAACCCCCTTCCCCTTTTTTTCATATGTCTATAATTTTCCTTTGTTTTATCTTCATTTTGAACTTATCTAATGAGTTCTGTTTACTTGCAGCTTATGCGCAATAAATGAAACTTATTGTTTTTCTTAACTTTTCTTGTATTTATTTTGTTATATATATATAATGTATATCACTATTGCGTTGATGAATTTTACTATGGATACATTAATACTATATTAGAGAACACTTTTTGCGGATATATTCGCGCGCTGACGACGAGATTACATATTTTCCTTATTTTGCACTCCAGTTTCTTTAACTTTTTCTTTTAATTTTTTAATTTCTTAATATTTTTAAAAATATTTTATTTATTAATATTTCCTTTTATCTCAAAAAAATTTTTTTGATCCCCATTTTCTTTTTCTTTTTAACTTGCATATATTTCACCATTCCTATCTTCGACAAGAAAAAGTATTAACATCAAAAATTAAAACCTATATTAACAAATATGAGCTGCCACGGCTATAAATAGAAACCCAGTTTATCTAGTTAGAATTTGCTATGATTCACGTATGTTGTCAGAGAAAGAAAAATCGCAGTTGATAAGTGACCAAAACAAATTATTTATCCCGAAAAAGAAATAATTGTATATTTCACAAGCACCGAAGGGGCTTCTTATCGGAAATTCTTCGAACATTTCTACGCGAAGTACGAATAACAGCTTTACGCTTCCTGTTTGAAGATATAGACCGAGAAATATGATTCTGGTGCAATGGGTGTATATATATATTTGCAAGCATAGTTTGAACTAGACGGAAAAAGTATTCTAAACATTAAACGCTTTCGGCAGTGTCAGTGAAACGTATGAGAAACTATGCCTTCAAGGAGAAAACGTCTACAAGCAAGATGGAAGAAAAATTGCTGTAAAAACATTCTATAGATTTGGTTGAGCTTTTTCGGCAACGAAATATTGTAAAAAGGAAAAGTTTATTTAGCTTCGGCGCTGGGAAAAAAAAAAAAAAAAAAAAAAAAAAAAACATATCTTCGGGAAACTCCCAGGAATATTAAACCTTAAAGTACTTTTTTCCGAATAAAAAGAATTCCATTTATAATATCATGGAGAAAATATTAAGTTATATATATTAGCAAAATAACTCTTAACCTATTGCTGCCCAGATATATTAATTTACTTGGGTTTCGTATTCTCTTAAAAGACCCTTTTTCCAAAAAGTACTGTAACTTACTTCTTAAAAATAAATGCAACTTATGTAAGATTAAGTTGTTTGCAATAATATGCAGGATGATTTAAAATATTTCACAAAAATCAGCACGTACGTCAGAAATATAACGACAATGAAGAATCTTATAGAAATATATTGTCTTATGGAACTATACACAACCCGGAAAGCGATTTTCCGAACCAGTGGCCTTTAAAGACCGATTCTCCTCTTTGGCACTTTCTTAAATTTAAAAAAAAATTAAAACTTGATTGACTATTTTTTATAGTTAAGGTATCAAATTTAAAATATAAATATATATATATATATATATATACATANATATATATATATATTATATAACCTTGCATTATACTTGCGACCGACTACTGCTAAGAAAAAAAATTCCAAAAAATAAAGCAGGTCATTAAAGGCCGCTGGTTTGTAAATTAGCAACAGGAGACGCAAGAGGTCGATAATAAAGCTGGCCAAAATGCTGCACAGGACAGAAGCTGGCTGAAAATTTGAAGACTTGCTTTAAAACATTACAAAAAAAAAAATTATTAACTTGTATTAGTGTTATAAATTTAGATCTGAGAGTTTTTAACACATTTTATGTGATTTATAAGTAACCTGACTCACATCTTGTACTCTGACTTTCTTGGCATGTAGTGCGTCTACATTGCTTTAGTGAGCATATATTTCTTTATGACTCTTGCTTGTTATGTTCTTGATCTGCATGTAGATTTTTGAACAGTTCCGAATCACCCTGTATCAATATTTATACTGTCCGACCACTGTGAAAAACTTCCGGAGAGATCAATTGAACGCAGGTATGTCATTATCTAAAGAATATCAATCCCAGCAATGAGGTCATGTCTAAACTTGCTTAAGCATATTCTTAGATAGTTTTTGATAATTCCAAGGGATACGTAACTACTTCTTAAACAAACTTTTATATCTGATAAATTAGGATTCAAAATAGGAAGCACGAAACGGTATCAGTCAATTTTAGTGTTACGTGTCAAACAGCATTTTCATTTGTGTCACCTAAAAACCTAATTAGCCAGGGTGATTTTATTCTATATTACCTTAAATAATCCATTTTAAGCAATGATAAACTCACTTCCTTTGCTTTTTCAACACTTGTACTGTTGCAAACACAGCATATTTGTTAGAATAATCTTAAGAAACAAAATTATAGACAGCGGAAAGAAAAGAAAAAAGAAAGTAAGATAAGCGTCACGATGTTAAACATCTAACTGGATGGATTCAAAATTAATCTACTTACCTTTCAACGTGAGTTGAAGCTATACTTTTACTAGACGCTAAACAACAGAAAAAATTTACTGTAACTAAAACGTACTTACCTGCAACCATGACGTTAAGGTCTCTAGTTAAACTATAAGGGAATATCATGATGCAAAATTAAAATAGTTTTTTAATAATATTCTTATTTAAACGTAATTACATGCAAGCAAGCATAACATGAGAAAAGAAAGCTTTCGTGATAATCATTCAATGGATTCTTAGTTAAAACTTAGTTAAAACGGATTCAACACAATATTTTTAGCATAAAGACTACATACAATAAACATATATAATCACAAAAAAAAAATAGAAAAAAGTGTAATTTGTCATAAATATCAATGATTTCACCTTATAAGTGAAAATTTAACAATTAATTTCATGACGTATATTTAGAGCTTATTAAATTATCTTTTACCATAGAACCTAAGAATGAAATATTAGGGTGTAATATGTAAAACTTATTTAGTTTAAAACTTTTAATAATTCTCGCTTTCTCAGTTTTCGTTAGTATAAACAAACTGAATATTTACTAACTTAAATCACAGTTTTTCACCTTCGACCTTAATTTATACGCACAAAAAAGTTCTCTCTTCAGCAATTCGTGTTTTTTAATGCATGCAAATTACTTTTCCTCAACTTTTGCTTTTCATCCAAAGTTGAGGCTTAAAAAGAATCTTAAAAAAATAGGACTGGAAATTACTTACCTTTTCTTATCCTGCCTTCTAATGTCCAAGAGACTCTAAGTACATCATCAGTATTAAAATTATTAATTAAACTTTCCATTCATCAATACAGGCAATTTCCCGTGATTCTTGCTTAAACTGTAACGTAAAGAGAATAGGCGTGTTAATTAAAAGTGAAACCCAGTTCATAAATTTCCAATTACATCAGATATTAGAAATTGGATAAAAGTGACAAATTTTTATCAACGAAATAGAGAATAATAAATTAAAACAGTAATTATGACATTAAAATCAATTTTTTTTACGAATATAGGAAACAATTAAAGTAAACATATAAAGAATATTTGTAACTAATTTTATTTAGATATTTACGAAGTTAGGTTCAAGATATCGCTGGACCTAAACTAGTCTTTTAACAAACGGTTGAGAGATAAATAAATAAAAAAAATGCACCATATGAATCTATGAGAAACTACATTTTGAAATTCAAAAATTAAAAAAAAAAATTAAAAAAAATTAAAGGTTAACTTATTTTAAGGGATTAAATCAAATTACTGTAGTGACTTAGCGTTAAAAAAAATTAAAAAAAAAAATTACTAACGATAGTCGAATGGGAACAATAGCCACGGAGTGACGTTATCAGTTGCCTATTGATACCACTTCAAAACAGAAACTAAATTCACTGGGCAAAAATAAGCACCACTTAACCAAGAGTTGGGCAGAAATAGTCAGCTGGTGACGTCACATTTGTGTCTGTTGTTTGTCATGTACACTTACAAACTCAGCATTTTTCTCCATTGAACATTTCATAAATTTCAAAACATGCATAATTTCAAATTAAAGAAAATGCATGCAGACTTACTTGTAAATTTTTTCATTGAATGTCTAACTTACCTGCTTGGTTCAACTAACCTTAAGACGCTTTTAACACAAAAAATTTAATTACATTAATAAAGTTTTGAATGCAAAATATGCACATTTACCATACAGTTATAACTCCCTAGTTGTAGGTATGATTTGTACCAGGGTTGGGTTTTTGACGTCAAAAAGTGGTTTTTGACATGACAAGGGTATAATACTGGTTTAAACCGTCAAAAACCCGTCAAAAATGTCAAAAACTAAAGTTTGCCAAAAAAATATATAAACTTCAAAACTACCAACAGTTGCCATGCATTATATGGAAATTTAATTATACTATAGGTAATCAGCAGGTTTTAAAATAATTTTTAATTCAAATTAAAGGTAAAATAACAGATTTAAAATCTCAGAAATTTATATTCAAATGCATGTGCAGAAAAATTTTGCACAAATTTTTTTTAAATATTTATATTTTGAAAAAAAAAATTTTTTTTTTGATACTTAAGAAAATTAAAAGTTTATTACTATGCATTTTTGACATATAAGGAACATATAACTAATATTTATAAGGAACTTACAAGTTATGTTGTATAAATACAAACTTGATACAAGTGTATGAAAAAAAATTTTAATGTTATACCGAATATCTTTATTATCCAGTATGTTAATTTGAATTTAAAAGTAGTTATATTTATGAATAATGATAAATATAATTCATATTGTTTATTATATTTATTTATAATTATTACACTTATCATTTTAAAACAATTTTTATCTCTTAATTTTTTTTTCTCCACTTGTATTAAGAATACAAATAATGCATATCTTGAAAGCAAGAAGTAATTATTCAACAGCTGAATATTTAGATATTCAACAAAACTATATAGTATTCAGCAAAATGAAATTCACAAGTATTTGGATAAACTAAATTTTCAGCATAGTAAATGAATAGGCTGAATATACTGTAAATCGACACTAACTACTCTGTGTATTTAACAGAAAGCACTTAAATTTGTATTGTCTTATGTTAAAAAGATTATTAAGAAGATTTAAAAGAATATTAAAAAGATTTTTCTTTAAAAGATGTCTAATGTACAAAACTGCTAATGTTTATCTTTAAAAATGTCTAATTTTTAGTATAATCTATACTATACACTAAATTTGGTTATAAATAAATTTCTTAATAATATCACTGCAGATTTTCAATAACACATGAAAATGAATACATAATATTACAAAAGATGTGAGTTTTCAAAAGTACAAGATTTTGGTTACTATTCAAAATATAAGTGTTTCTTCAAAATTTTAAATTTATTTTTTCTAGAACATATTTAGAAACACTATCCTTTATAAAAAATATATAAATTTTATGTATTAATTAAATTTCACATATGAATATAGGTTTTTGACATTTTCGACATTTTTGACAGTGAGGTTTTTGACGTGACGGTTTAAACCATGGTTTAAACTGTCAAAAACTGTCACATGTCAAAAACCTGCCAACCCTGATTTGTACTGAATAGATAATTTTTGTTTAATTTAATTATAAGTCACAATATTTAAGCTATCTTTCAACTTAAATAAGCAACCATTTTGTAAACATTAACAAAAAAAAATAAATAAATATGCGTGTAATAAGAAATAAACAGAAAACTCGGATGAAAATTTTAAAATTATACAGCTTCTTTTTTTAAAATATAATAGCATTTCAGTAATCAAACATTACTTGAGACCTGTGATTTTTTTTATTACACAGAAAATTAAAATAAAGTTATTTTTTATAAGGAAAAAAATGGAATGGAAGAAACTGTAGATAGTAGTCAATAAGGATAAAAATTCACTATCTCGAAATTAATGGTTTGCTATACACCAGCCAGATTTACTTCCCAAACAAGCTGGAACCCGTCGATATGTAGCTAAGCACTTTTCACGTCACCACCAAGGCTTGAACCCTGGTCCTAAACAATGACAGTTTAGAGTCCTATCCACTGTGTCAGCACTATAGTAAAAAATACATTCAACCTTAATTTACTCAAAATAGCATTTGTCTCCAACGCTCAAACACTAATTCAATTATTTAGCCCTTTCCTTCTCGCTCCCGTCAAATGATGGTATGAAGCTTCGCCCCTTATTTCTCGTGCCCATGATATTCTCAGGCTGGTATTTTCAAAGGTAACCCACCAAAAAGATTAAAGCAATCAATTTCTTTCACCCGGAATGATGTATACTTCTCAATCTATAAACCAGGTGGCAGTACCAGACTATTTGTTACGTGTTTAGAAATAGAGTTGTTCACACTAGTTGTCAGCACTCAAACATGCAAGCTAAAAATTAATCCAAAAATTACAAATGAGTACATATATTGTATATGCACTTAGTTTTATATAATTTTCGTGCATAAAAGCTTCGCACTTTTATGACCGTTTTCCTCTGCACTTTTGTGACCGTACTTAGCACTTTTATGACCGTATTTATGAGACCATTAATTAGCTAATACGAATAATTGAGGGCAAATTCACTTTGTATTAAACTGCATTAATTGAAAATTAATCTTATTTAACTATATTAATAAGTAAAACATCCTGAAAAAACTCCGCAACTGAAATACATCAACGTTCTCATTTCTTCACTAAAGTCACTTACATTTTTTTTTCTTTTTTAAATATGATAACAAAGAATCTTTTATATACAATATATTCAAACCTTATTTATCCGAATAAGATTTTTACCCTCGACACAAAATCAACTTAACCAGGTTTCAAAAAGCAATAACTGAATTATAAATTATTCAGAGAAATCTTAGGATTTATTAGGAAGAAGAGAAAGAGAGTAACTCAGAGTAACAAACGACAAAGCACTTATCTTAGCAAAAAAAGAAATGCAATAGGGAATGAGGAGCAAGAGTCCTCAGGGCCTGTGATCTCCAAAGGCCATCAGAGCTAGGGTCTTCGTAGTCCACGGAGACTATAAATTACCTTCTTCAGAGCATCCACTACCACTTAAATACGACGCTAAAGTGGATGAAAGAATTACGATGTGGTAAAGATATTTTTTAATGAAGAGCAGTGGAGAAGCATCTAAGCAACTCAGAATTAGGCCCACTCAAGTTTTGTTGTGGAGAACAAATCTTCAATTAAGTATCTACGAGAGAGATTTGTTTTAAAAAGTAACGCTTGAAAGTTTTTCTGGATAACTAAAGAACACGTACGAAAAATTTGAAGTAACAGTAGTTCAAGCTTTGGACAAAAAATAAAAATGGTAATGCAGTTTTTCTGTTCAAGATAATAAGGAGGAACATTCTACTTGATATTTATAGTACTAATAGAAAGGGCTTACTTGTCATTTATGTACACACAGAAAAGTGTATGAACAATAAAAATAATTATAATAAATTTTTATTGAATTATTGATTTTTTTACAGACTAATAATATGCAATTAATTGAATGAAATATAGAGTACACCAAACGACAAAATCAAATATCTCGAAAAATGTAAGCTAAATTATAAACAAGTTTGGCAGTGTTCCAAACTATGTTTGACGGAAAAATAACCAGGATATCCAGTATTCTAAACGTTAGTAAATAAATACTGACTAAAGTAAATCATCCGACGAGCTTGTGTTCTTCATGTTCTAGGAGGCTACTATAAGATATGTTTAACTTTCGAAATTTGAAATGTAACTATGTAACTATATATATATATATATATATATATATATATAAAAACACTATTTTGGCTCTCTGTAAATTGTGCGGCATTCTATACCAGAAAAACAATTTACAGGGCGAGCTACATATTAAGATTTAGAAGAATATAATATGTACTATCATCCAGCGCCCATCCTTAAGAAGCAAAGTGACAGTCAGGAGGCACGTGATCTGTGAACTGATTTTTGGACGATTCTACTTCCATGGAAGGGTACACTGCCTCCCGCCAACCAACATTATATTCTTTCTCTCGATATCAAAATGTGTCAGCAGGTTTAATTTACATGGATAATATACACTGAGTGGCCAAATTATTATGACCACCTCAGAGTTTCATACAAATGAGTTATTGCGACACAGCGCTGCAGCTAGAGGGCAAGATAACTATAACACGGGAATGCTGGACAAGTGAGTCATCAGTTATACTGTGTTGCTTGCTCAGATATGGGAAAGAAAAGTGATTTAACTGAATTACAACGTGGAATAATAGTGGGCGCGAGACATGTCGGAAAGAGTATCAGCAAAACTGCTGCACTTGTGAAGTGTTCTAGAGCAGCAGTTGTTAATGTGTA